GGTGATGAAGGTTTTTGACAATGTTTCCATGGGCAGCTCATCATACGAGCTTTCAGTGTTTTCAATCAGCTCGTCGATGGTGCGCGAATGCTTTTGATGTTGTAGGCTTTGAATTGAGTTAAAATATCCCAAATCGAGGACATTAAAATCAGGGCTGTTTGGAGGTTGGTTGGCAGCTTCAATACCAATAACACCATGCTGTAGGAGTAGCTGCGAAGTCACACAGTTATGTGGACTTGCATTGTTATGCTGCAAGTATATTATTTTATTTTGATCTGGCAACGGAAATTTACTCTTGATAGCTGGCACTACCTTGTGCAAAATCGTTTCGCGGTAAATGTCCGAATTTACATTTTGAGATACTGTAATTATAGTACCCTTGGGGCGATGTTTACTGCCCCTTTGTGCAGGCACTCTGTCGATAAAAGGCCAAATTCCCAACTTGCCATCAAAGTACGACTTGTTGTGAAAGTCAAACCGTGGGCGAGCGACGGCAGCCAAAAACATAACTTTTGTAATAAACCTTTTAGACTTGAGCGATCGGAGTGGCAAAACTTCACTGTATGCATAAAACCTTTTCTTTACAGTCGTAAAAAAAACCACTTTTCATCAACATGTACATAGTTGTACATGTTGGAAAAAATGGGATTTTTCGACGACTGTGAAAGAAAGGATAGTGCATGCTCCACGCGAAGTCGTTGATTGTCTTTTGTTAGGAGTGGCTTCGAATAACTTGACTTGGCCTTGAGAGTCTTCACTTCTTTCATGTGGCGGACGAGGGTGGTCTTGGGAATTCGAGAGTGGGCGGCCAAAGAACGCAAGGTTTGGCGCGCCATGTACGCATGTACGGCACGGCTCTCACCGCCTACTCAATTTCCTCGGCAGTTCGTTTTCGGTTGAAATTACCTAGAATAGTACAATTGTCAAAATTAATACTTCCATAAATGAATAAATTTCAATGCAAATATAGGCTTAGACAGGTTTTTACCTTTAAGTTTGGAGTCGACAATGGCGACCGCGCTACCGCCACGAAGTGAGGCCACACCTCGTTGCCAGATGCGCGCAGCGGTCTTCCAATAGCAGTTGTACATTCGTCCGACCTTCCTGTATGCGCCGTGAGGAAGGTCTCCGCGGACACTGAGGTTGATCAAAGCTTCGTAGATCGCGCGCCGCTCGTCGTTGTCGAGCTTCCGCCTGTCGTGACTACCGCTGGGTGCGTTGTTAGAACGTGCTTCTTGCGGTGATGGCATGAATAGGCAGTGTTAAAGCAGGAGTGTATTAAACGTTAAGCGTAAAATTGAGAAGTGAAAGGTCTGCGGGTGAATCTGTGTGCGCTAGGCGAAGCCAAGCATTTCTAATGATCATAACGTTTGAGCAAACGATACCTAGAAAACGCTGAAATAAACCAATCAAAGACTAGAATCCGCGCCGTTTGATAAGCCAATTAGAGTGGATTGGCGGAATTTTTCTAACTTTCCGTTTTACTGCACTCTAATTGGCTTATCAAACGACGCGGATTCTAGTCTTTGATTGGTTTTTTTCTCCAAAGTCAAATGGGCCTCTTCAGCCAGAACAGAGTAGTAGAGAATTGGTCAATTGGAGTCCCGCAATTTGTGATTTTCTTGAGATTTCATTAGACCTCTTGACCAATTACCACGTCAGAAACTAATTGCACAATCTTTTAGCAATTTCTTGGGTGATATTGGAAAATCTGATGGTTTCGACCAATGTCTGGACCCATTTTGGAAATGACCGAGTGATTAACCAATGTTATGAGTAACTTCCTTTTGATAACGTGATTTTCTGTTTTACTCTGTGAAAAAATAAATACCGAGGACAATTGTAATTGATTACAAAATGCTTCATCAAAAATACTACTTTCATCAGCACTGTCGTAAAAATCAACCCCGGAAGTGAACTGAGCACTCTCCCCAGTAGAAAACAAAGAACTCAAGCACCGTTTGCGCTTTTCGCGAGACTTTATGACTGAACCAGCACGCTTTGCTTTCATTTTCTGTCCCGAGGACAAAAGTCCATTGACATGCATATGAAGGTCATCTCCGTCGACTTCCCGTAAAGGCAAGAAACGAATATGGAGGTTCGTAAATGCCACACACGTTTGGAAGTAGATCGTAATTTTCTCGCTTCCACGTGTACGTGTCACCCACGACAGACCATAACGTCTTGAGAAGACCGAAAAAGTTCTCCACAATGACACGATCGCTCGCAATCTTGTCATTCACGGCCATGTCGGCGGCAGACAGAAGGCCACCTGCTGGTCGCTTCATCGGAGTGATCGCACGCAGTTGGCGGTGAAGGCCTTGGTAGCCTTTGTCAGCAAGCAGAGCCCACGACCGAGGATACTCTTCTTGCATTGGGCCGTCGTCCAACATGTCATCTTCTTCGCCAATCTTCTTCAGCTTGACTTGGTGAAAGTCGAGGTTCAACTCGCAGATGGCAATGTCAGCGACGCATCCTGGCACAGCCGTGGTCACATTGATGGCGAGGCCGTTGGGCAACACACTTGCTTCCACCTTCAAGCCGTACTGCCCATGCTTCTTGCTGTACAAGCGCTTCTTCTCGTTGAAACTTCGGGCAGGCGCGTTCGTCCGCTGAAACGTGACGTCAACAGCGTACAGTGCGGATGGGAAGTTGTTGAACCGATGTCCACTCGTGTGCAGGTGCATGGAGTACTTGTCCAATACGGTGTCAATGTACACTACTTGGCCCGTAAGGTGGGGTGGATGGCAGCGAGGAAGGTGTTAACGCGCTTTGAAAACGTTGGCGACTTCTCCTTGAAGACCACAGACACCACGTCCCACGAGCCACAGTGCTTCATGCTTGTTAGGGTCATGAAGAGCATGTCCCGGCCAGACACCTCACCTGAGCCGACGTTCCGTTCTTGACTGACACTGGACTGCAGGTCCTTCCAAACCAGGTTGAACTCACTAAGGGAGAAGTTGGTGAGCTCGTGTACGACAGCTGGACCTCTTGTCTTGATGAAAGCGTCCAGGACAGGTGAAGGCGAGTCGTAGTCTTCGTCGTCGTCCATCGTGGTTGTCGGGTGGCTTTGGCGAATTGTTTTGAATGGCAGGCGATTAATGGCTGTCAAAACTCGTTTTCGCGCCAACATGTGCATTAAATTTTGGTGGTTTCGTGTCTATCTTTGTCGTGAGTATAGTTGTTTTTTCATTTTTAGAGGGTATTATATCTCATGATTCGGGACGACGATCACACGCTACAATCCAGTTATTCCTTGTGACATGGGAACGACTTCAAGTGATTTCGTATGTCACAGAGTGATTTCCAAAGTCACCCACTTATTTCCAAATGACTCAGTGTACACTCGATCACATAGTCTTGAATTCATTGGTGAGTTATTTACTAGAACATCTGTCAATTCTAAATGACACTGTTGTTGACTTGCGACAAAGTAATTTAAAAAATATATTCATGATATTGGAAAGTGAAGCATTTTTGGTTGAAAACCGAGTTACTGGGTTAGAGGCCTATTGGATATGAAAAACGTAGGACTAGCTTAGCTCCCTACGATTTTGTCAATTCACAAATGAATAGAGAAATTTTATGTTTGCTACAAATTCGTATATAACTTGGAAGAAAATTGCGGTTGAGGATTCAAAAATGGCGAAATCGCAGGGGTGTGTGCCTACGATTGCATACAAAAGTCAAGTTCTGTCCTACGAATTCCGTAGAATGACAGTTCAACTCTTTGAGGCCGAAGGTGAGGACTACTGTATGTCAGCCGTGGCACCCAAGCCCGCCCACCATACTAACCACACCACGTGCCATGGTCCCACGAATAACCCCGTAGTACATCTTAGCGGCTTTCCAGGGTCTATCAGCATTGGTGGTAGCATCTGCTGATGGTCAAGACTGCATGGTATTTTTATTCAACATGATTTATAAAAATGTACCAAAATTAATCGTGTGCAATTCTATATTATTACATGCATGAATGTTATCATAGCCAATCACACACTATCTGATCACAATGCCGCAATATAATTAGTAGATATTGAAACCGTTCAGGAATTAGCGTTCAGAAAATCGATCCGTTACCTTAGTGCATCGATTTTCGGAACCATTTCGGGTCGGATTTTCATCCATTCTTCGGAGGGTCATTGCTCAGCCATTAATTTCGAATCAAGTGATTCTGGATGTATGATGCGAAAATATAATTCACGTTAAATTGAGCTAGATGCTCAATTTACCGATATTTGTGATTTGTATGCTATAGAAATACGGGGGGAGATGCAGAAACTACTTCCCGAACCATTGTAAGTATCTTGAATTAAGTATTGATTGAATTATATTTTGGCATTATAATGCATCGGATTTTAACCGTCTATATTATTAAGGTTGAAGAAGAGTACATCATTAAATTTCATCAAAATTTAATGAATTGAGTCATTAAAAATTCACACGGTCTTTTTACGTCTGTTTGGAATGGAAGCTTTTTTGCGCTTGTTAGGAATGGAGGCAGCAGCATGCAAGCCTGCCATCGAGAACCACTCGTCGTCCGTTAACACACGCTTTCTTTCCTTGCCGGTATGCCTCGCCAGTACGGTCAGAACATCTTTGCGAGCGGCGACTTGAGTTCTAATCCACGTTGCAGCACCAATGCCCTTGTCAAATGTCCTTGTCGAATGTCCTTGTCGACGCCGTTGGACGTTTGAAGCGCCAAGCGCTTCAGCATCATCGGCAACGACAGCGACCACGTTCCACAGGTACGAAACCCATTCTGAACAATCCCGGACAGCTCATTTCGTTCGTTGGTCAGAAGATCATCACGCGACCGAATCTTGTTGAATGCTTCACCGGTGATATAAATGGCTTTGACGCGAGATAGTGACACGGCGTTGAACGCACGAAGGTACTTTGTCACGGCATTCTTGATGTCTCGCTTGTAGGAACGACAGATGGCAATATCCAACGGCTGCAGCAAATGTATAGCATTGGGAGGAAAGAACACCAACAAAATCCCATACGTTTCACAAATCCACTCAGATCCCATGCAATGGTGCGAGGAACCGTTATCGAGCACCATTACGGCTGGATGCTCCTCACGAGCTTCGAGTTTCCATTCGTCAAAGGCAATAAGCCACGTATTGAAAATGGTGAAGTTCATGAACGCCTTTGGTTTCGTGGTCACGAGGGTGCCTTCTAAAGGGCATTCGTCCAACACACTAGTCTCGCGTGTAATACCCGGTAGGATGAATGGCGGTGAGACAAGCGTGCTGTCCACAGCCGCAGTCATCATGATTGTTAGGTGATAAGCTCCTGTGTACTCCTCAATTCCTCACGCTGCGCGACCCGCGAATATAAACGACGCGTTTGGACTGTGTCTTGAAGCTTGTCTCGTCGACGTTGTATACGTCCCGCGCCGTACAGTGGAATACAACACAAGCTTTTATCAACACAACGAATTAAAGTATGTTATTAAACCTTCCTTGTCGACGTTGATGCGATATTTTGACAGAAGTTGCACCAGTCGTTCGGATATGCGCGGATTGGGCGTACAAAACTTTTGATAGCATTCGCGCGAAACGCTTCGTGGGATACCGGCGTGAAGCGAAAGGACCTGGCACGCCTTGTGAATGACGGCTACTCGATGAACTGGCCATCCACGTCGCTGCATGGTGGCGATCCTGTGACGGTCGTAGGGGTTAGACGCACAAAAGTTACGAAGGTCCGGAGGTTCGGACTTCAGGACCGGATACTCTCGGCTTGGCCAAGAAGAACACAGCAAGAAAGGAGTAGATCCAATGTTAGGCAAATGTAAAAGTGAACTATCTAAAAACTAGCTAAAGCTGACGACCTTTGGGGAAAGGTCGTGTAGAATAAAAGGCAAGACGGTCGAATTCGAAGATGGTCGGCCCGCTGAATAATATACCTTTGCGATGGCAATACCACGATGTGGTATAGTAGTACAAGCCCATGCTCCAGCTCCGTCACAAGTCCCGCGGCGAAGATTCGACCCTCTCGTCGAATTAGAAATGAATCGACGGAGTTGGGTAGGAGGTGTCGGGTAGGTCAAAAAGTGTAAAAGGTCCAATTTGCACGTAGCCAGTTTTCGTTGCCACAAAAGCAGTGATGCTTGCGTTGACCATCGACAAAGCTGAGGATAGTGATGCAGATGGAGGAGCCGGAAGGAGGTCGCGTGAAAATGAGTGGTCATGGAGCACGGTACGACGAGGCCACGACAAAATGTACGACGGCACCCGGGACCAGGTGCTGGTAGTCTCAGACTGGACGGACATAATATCGCAGACTGGGCAGATGATTGGACGAAATATTTCGGAAAACAACGGAATAGTCGGTCAGAATAGTCCGTTGGACAACAGTCTTCAGACGGGAACTGACTGTAGTCTCCATCCATCACGCTGTCAGGCAGCCAATCAGAGGCGACCATGAGTTGACTTCGGCCAGTTGATAGGATCGTCGATTTGTGGTCCTTTGGATAGGGCATTTTCCAACGTAGGCGTCATGGTTAGTACGTCAGGGGCAGTCGGGAAAAAGGAGCGGTCGTCGTTGTTGTCGAGGTAGTTTAGAACTGAACCAGCGTTTGGGGTTCCACGTCGAGGTCTTTGTATCGTTTCGAACGCCGAAGTGGAGGCAATCCCATGTCCATTCGTCGAGATGTTTCGAAGTCGTCCACAAAAGATCGGTATGCGACCAGTTTGGAGTCGGCCATCCAGTACTTAAGACCGTCGGCATGTTCGACCAAGTACTCCTTTTCGCGGGAGTTAGGTAAACGTCGCAGGTCGACTACCCGGAAAATCGGCGACGAGGTAGATGAGTAAGCAACGTCGTCATCTGGAAAGGACACTCGTTCCACGAAGCTGGACGAGGGTAGGCAGTCGATCGACAATTCGTCGGAAGCTTCGTCAGCTTCGGGGATCTCGTCGTCGAACGGTCGTGAATAGTAACCCCGAAATGGTTTGAGTCGGTCGACGTTCACAGTTACCATCTTGTCAGGGTGTGATGGTATGTCGATCTTGTACGTGTTTGGTCCCATTTTGCGTTCGACTCGGAAGGGTCCATGCCAATGCGTGGCTAGCTTAGTCGTCCGATGACCGTCTGGTCGGGTCGACTTGGCGAAGT